ACTTAACAGCAAGTGGTCCCCAAATGTCTACATGGATTAAAGCAAAAGAAGAGACTGCTCTACTGTTACTAAGGGAAAAAGGAAGTTTCCTTTGTTTGGCTAAATGACAAGTGGAACAATGCTTAACAGAAATCCTATTACATCCAGTAGCTTGATGCTCTCTTTCTCTACTTGGATGCCCCAATCTCCAATGCCAAAGGTCAATCTGATGTGGCTCAAAGTTATAAATGGTGGCAGCCTAGTGTGTAGGAATGGTAGGTGATGGACTTGGTGTAGTGATGAGGTGGTAGAGGCCTTTATCTTGTTTTGCTGAACCAATCAGGTTCTTGGTTGTTTGGTCCTGAATATGACAAGAGTCAGATTCAAATATTAAGGAAATAGGCATGTCTTGGGTGAGTTTACTAATGGAAACCAGGTTGAATGTAAAGCTTGGGACTAGGAGGACATTGTATAAGGTCAAACCATTAGGTAATTGGACTGAACCTATATGACTAACTGCTACCTTAGAGCCATTAGGTAGGTAAACAAACTGATTTGAAACAGTCCTAGCTTCTAAGAATACAGCAAGTGTGCATGCTATATGATCTGAAGCTCCAGTATCTAAAATCCAGATCTGGGCTAGAGCCATCAATCCATGTTGAGCATAGGAGGAGAGAACATATTTACCAGCAAAAGTAGGATGAGAAGGGAGTTGCTGTGAGACTGAGAAGGAAGCATGCTTGATGGAAGGAGACAGTGGTGGTGAAGGGCTCATTCTGTCAGGCTGATGCAAAAGGAGCTTCAACTTGTTTAGTTCTTCAGGAGTGAAACCAAGAGTAGTGTTTGAGGAAGATCGACTCTCATAACCAACACTCTGTCCTGAAGAATTGGAATCCCCACTTTTAGAGTCTGAGGTAGTGACTGAGCCAGCAAAAGTTCCACCTTCTCCCATACGCGCTTTCTTGTTCTTCAAGCGATAACACTCTTCTTTGAGGTGTCCTCCCATCTTGCAGTATCGGCAGAATTTCCTTCCCTAGCTTCCTTAGCAGGTTCGTACTTGGTGTCTTTGTTAGGGTTGAAACCCTTGTTTTGATCACCTTGTCCTTGTGCAGCCAATGCAACAGACTGAATGCCTCTAGTGCTCTTGCCCTTATCTCCCTGCAACTTCTGTTCATGTTGCAAGATATCATCCAAGGCTACCTCCACAGTAGGTAAGGGCTTTAGCATAAGTAATTGGGTTTGAATGACATCAAAATCAGGCTTCAATCCTTTAAGGAACTTGATCAAGTAATCAATATCCAACTTCTCCTTATAAGCTACCACTGCTGCACATGGTCTGGTTCTCACTGCGACACAATCACATTCAACAATAGGACTGTATTGTTGAATCTCTTCCCATAATCCCTTAAGAGTAATATAGTATTGGGTTACACTCATATTACCCTGTTTGCAAGCAGCCATCTCATCTTTCAAATTAGCTAGCTTAATGGCATTAGATCTACCAAAACGTGCCTTCAGTTCATCCCACACAACCCTGGCATTCTCATGCTGTAAAACACTCCTACTGATGTCCTTATGCACAGAGTTCAGTATCCAGCAAAGAACCATAGTATTTGAAGCATCCCACAAAACAAAATCAGGATCAGTTCGATCAGGCATTGGAATCGACCCATCGATAAAACCCAGCTTGTGCTTGGTCTTAAGAGCCATTCGCACAGCTCGCTGCCAGGTCTGGTAGTTAGATCCATCCAAAATCTCAGCTACTATGGATTGACCTAGATTTTCACTAGGATTAATGTAATATGGACTTCCAAACACAAGACCCAGATGATTGTTGTTACCATTCTGCTGTTGACGACCTTCATTGCCGGTGTTGTTGTGAATCTGGCTTCCACCACTGCTGGTCGCAGAGTTGAAGGTGCCAAATGGAATAGGACCTGAGCCTTGAGCTCCTGGTGGCGTCTGTGGAGGTGGGTTATTCGCCATAGCAGAAATGGAAACGTGAAACAGATCAACACCGCTCTGATACCATAAGAAATAAGAAGAAAGAGATGTAGAGGAAAAGCTGCTAGGTTAAGCAGCTGGAATGATTGAAGGGGAAAATCTCAGAGAAGCATTGTGCTCTCTCTTTCTCTATTTATACTACCATTTGTTACTACAGTAAAAACTGAAATGTAAAACTGTAATTTGAAATTAAATAAACTGTGCCCAACACGTGGCATTTAACGATTCAGCAGCTACTTAACGGCTAGCTAACAGAGTAAAGTGCTATGTTCTTCATTTCTGCATTTCTTCAGTTCTGCACTTCTTTTCCCTTGTTCTTCGACTCTGTTTGCCCAGCATCACTTCCATTCTTCTGCTCTAATACATCTGGCTCAAGCTCCGGTCAGTGATGCTGACTTGCCTGGTTCACTGTTTGCGGGGTCTTGCCCTGCATGTATACTCAATTTGCAGCTGTAATTCGGGCTCGTGGGACGATACCAACAATCGAAGAATTTCCCGAAACAACAGCAGCAGCCTATGGGTCAAGAACGTTCAGGTGGGCCCGTGATCATTTGTTCAATTTTGTAATCGGGCGGTCTACTCAGCTAGGATCTGAAACAAGGTTTTCCCTACCACCCAACCACCAAAACCCCAAGTCCATCACACTATGCAGTCTCCATCCTATAGTGTGCCGTTTGCTGCTTCTGGCCCATTGTTGATGGATCCAGAAACCTCACATCACAGCTGACTTGGGAAATTTATCAATTTATTTTTATTATGATTGATTCAGGTTTGCGTATTACACTTGTTGGTAGTTCTTCTCTTAATATTGGTGTTAATTTTCTAAAATAAAATTATATCTTATGCGCACAGACTATTAAAAAGAAACTCATATATGTTGCCAAACTTTGTCAAATCTGTTGAGCTGGATCTTATACCACACTCTAACATGCCCCCTCAAACGAAAGCCAACCCACGGGCTTGAAGTCTGCACAGGCCCACAATACCTTGTGCTTTAATCAACTGTTAATATTGGGGGGCGTGAAGGTTCGAACACACGACCACTTGGTCAAACTAGCTCTGATACCATGTAAAATACGACGAAGATAACGAAAGCATAAAACACAACACCAAGTTTACGTGGTTTCCTCGTTCGGTGAGAACGAGACTAGTCCACGGAGACCGTGAGTTCTCGGATGAGATTTTATTCACTGATTAGGTTTTTGCTTAGGGCGGCACAGGTGTAGCCGAGCCCTATTTATAACAAGCATGCACAATCCCTTAACACTTAAACTGGGAAGGCAAATAACAAAAGGCTCCCTAAAGTTAATAAGCCTCCAAGAGGGAAAAGCATAGGGATCACAACACTCTCCCTCAAGCGAAGGACCGAATATCGAGAAGTCCGAGATTGACCAGAAGATGTGAGAACTGATCAACGCTGAGACCTTTGGTGAAAATATCCGCAGGCTGCTCCTGAGTAGCAATCTTGAGAGGCAAGATATCACCAGCCTGTACACACTCTCGCACAAAGTAGCAATCCATTTCAACATGTTTAGTATGCTCGTGAAACACCGGATTAATCACGATGTGAAGAGCGGCCTGGTTATCACAGAGCAATGGAGTGGGACGAGAGAGAGTAACTCCCAAGTCGCGAAGAAGCCAACGTAGCCACACTACCTCACTGACCGTGCTTGCCATGGCACGATATTCAGCTTCTGCCGAGGAGCGTGCTACAACTGATTGTTTCTTGGTGCGCCAAGACACTGGAGAAGAACCCAGTTGAATGAAGTACCCCGTAGTCGAACGCCTAGTGAGAGGACAACCGGCCCAGTCTGCATCATAGTACGCTGTCAAAGTGAGTTCTTTAGTAACCGGAAGAAACAAGCCACGGCCAGGGCACGCCTTGAGATACCGAAGTATCCGAGCTGCATCATGAACATGTGCCTGAGTCGGGGAATGAACTGCCTGGCTAAGCATATTGACTGCGTAAGTGATATCCGGACGAGTAACCGTGAGGTACAAAAGGCGTCCAACGAGTCGACGAAAGGCAGCAGGATCAGCTGCTGGTGACGACGGGTCATGATTAAGACGATGATTCTGCTCAATCGGAGTCGGACAAGGGCGAGTGGCTGTGAGACCAGATTCCGTGAGGATGTCCAACACATACTTCCTTTGATTTAGTACCAAGTCGCGAGGTGATCGGGCTACTTCAATGCCAAGAAAATACTTGAGTGGCCCAAGGTCTTTGATAGTGAAACGATCATGGAGGAAATCTTTGACCCATTGAATGAATCCATGTCATTACCAGTCAAAATGACATCATCCACGTAAATGAGGGCAACTACAAAGGTGGAACCATGACGATGGGTGAAAAGAGCATGATCAGCACGACTCTGAACAAACTGTAGTTCCAGAAGTGCCTGACTGAACTTCTGATACCAATTGCGAGAAGCCTGACGAAGTCCATAAATAGACTTGCGGAGGCGACAAACTCGAGTGTCCCCAGGTTGAGAGAAGCCTTGGGGAATTTCCATATAAACCTCTTCTTCAAGATCACCATGCAAAAAGGCATTATTCACATCAAACTGATGAATAATCCAATTTCTGCTGGCAGCAACAGTGAGCAAGCAACAAACAGTGACCAGCTTAGCCATGGGCGCAAAGATGTCATGATAGTCGATGCCCTCGATCAGTGTAAAACCTTTGGCCACAAGACGCGCTTTATAACGCTCAATTGTCCCATCAGCATTGAACTTAACCTTAAAAACCCATTTCGAAGCGATAGCACTCTTACCAGGTGGTAATTCGCACAATTCCCAGGTGCCATTAGATTCGAGCGCCTGATACTCAATCATCATGGCATCTCTCCAATGTTTATAACGCACCGCTTGATAGTAATAGCGCGGTTCCTCTACACTACTCACCACGGCGACGAAGGCATGATGAGCCGGGGAGAGTCGGCGGTAGGTAAGGTAATCTTCAATAGGATGATCAACTTGAACTGCGTGAGCTACGCTAGGTAAGTCGACCTCAAAACCTCAAAGTCGGTTGGAGAGCTGAGGAATCTGATTACTTTTGCGCAAAGGTGGCACACCGCCCTCCTTCGCTAGAGTTGGCAAAGTGACGAGAGGAGTGGGAAACTTGGAAGGCGAAGTCATCCCATCATCTGAAGGAAGGCAATCAAGCTGTAGGGGGGACTCTTCGGAGGGAGATGATGATGATGGTGACGCATCTAGCTGGTCAACAGGCACGACCGCCGGTTCGGGAATGGTATCTGTCAAAGAAGGAAGGGGTGAACTGGCCGGGGGTTCATCCCAAACCGGTGCAACAGCAGGTGCACCATGCAGCTCGGAATTCGTACCCTGCATGAGAGACGGCGACGGATCCTGGGACAAGAGATAGGGATAAATGGTTTCAATGAAACGAACATCTCTGGAAGTATAAATCCGACGTTCCTCCAAATCAAATATACAATATCCCCGCTGAGTACTAGGGTACCCGACAAAAATCCTAGCACGACCACGTTCAGCAAATTTTTCTAGACCACGTCTATTATCACGCACATAAACGAGACATCCAAAGCTACGCAAGTGACTATAGCTTGGATCTTTCCCAAAAATGAGCTGAAATGGAGATCGATTACCAATCGGTACGAACGGCAGTTGATTAATTAAATACGATGTCGTCAAAATACACTCTCCCCAGAACTCAAGAGGAAGATTCGCCTGGAACCTAAGAGCACGAGCTGTTTCCAACAGATGCCGATGCTTACGCTCAACCACCTCGTTTTGTTGTGGTGTGTCCGTGCAAGAAGTTTGTAAAATAATGACTGATTCTTCATAATAGTTCTTCAAATCATTAGTAACAAATTCCGGACCATTATCTGTCTGAATGCGCCGAATGACCTTAACAAACTGAGTCTGAACCATGTGCAAAAATGATAATAAGTGACGAGCGACATCGGACTTAAAACGAAGTAAGTAAACCCAAACAGCTCTGCTGTAATCATCAACAATCGTCAAAAAATAACAACCTCTAGAAAATGTAGGAGTCTGATAACCTCCCCAAATATCTAAATGTATGAGTTCAAAGCATGAAGTAGTCGTGATCGAACTGGTCTGGAAAGGATCACAAGCTTGCTTTGCTCGAATACAAGAATGACATGGAGAATCATTCCGCAAAAGTGGAGTAGAGATAAACTGTTGTAAAGTCATTAACTTTGCCACCGAGGGGTGCCCCAGACGAGCATGCAGAGAGCTATCTTATCCACCGCTTGACGAGCTGTGTGTGCCACAGGATGCTGCCCATCAAAGAGTCGCAGATAATACAACCCATCTACATGCTTACCCATCTCAATCAGCCTCCTGAATAATACAGAAATCACCAAGAAAGATTAAAGCCACTGGAAGATCTGTCGTAAGCCGACTGACGGATAACAGATTGCACTGAAAATGAGGAACATATAACACTCTCTGAAGAAACAATCCATTAGATAACCGAACTGATCCAATACGATGAACCGGGACACCAGTCCCATTCGGAATCCGAACCTATAATGAGGAAGGTGACTCCAACTCATTCATTAATAATGATTTATCTATAAATATGTGTTCATTCCAGCCTAAATCGATAACCCAGGAAGAATAAGCAACATTAGACGTACCTTCCATATTGGAAGTGGGATTGCCGGATGCTTGACTTCCTAGCTTAACATCAGAGCAGAGAAAGGACTTTAATTGTGTAAATTGTGCTGTTGTCCACCCTGGAATTGGGCTAGTCTCCAACTCTGCATCCACATTTGCCGCTTGAGGACTAGGACGAGGCCCACGATCAGATTTCCTTCGCTGCGACCGCTGGTCACCTTCCTTCTGCGGCAGATATCCAATCAGTCTGTAACACGTCTCACGGAGATGACCTGGCTTCTGGCAGTGGCTACACCGGTTTGCCGTCGGCGTCTCGCTCCCCAGATCGTGGAGTGCGATCTGATCGTCTCTCCCCCTGAGCCTGAAAAACGGCGGCATCAGCTCTTGGCCGCCGGCTGCTGGGTATGTGGCGCTACTGTTCGTCACTCATAATCAAATGGTAAGCCTTCCCCTAGACTCGGTATATGCCTCATAGCCAATATCTGTGTCTTTACTGTGCTTAACGCCTCATCAAGTCCCATTAGAAAGTCAAACAATCGCTCGCTCTCCTTCACTTCTCCATGGAGAACGTGAGTTCTCGAATGAGATTTTATTCACTGATTAGGTTTTTGCTTAGGGCAGCACAGGTGTAGCCGAGCCCTATTTATAACAAGCATGCACAATCCCTTAACACGTAATCTGGGAAGGCAAATAACAAAGGCTCCCTAAACTTAATAAGCCTACAAGAGGGAAAAGCATAGGGATCACAACAAAATCGATCAAAAGTTTTGCTAATTACTTTATTCTAAAGGATCTCAGCATGATGGTGCCACTTCTTATGGGAACGAACAAAATGAAGTTTACGAGCGTTTTAAAGATGTGGGGACCGTTCGTTTAGCCATGGTTAATACTCTTGTACTTCAACGTCATCTTAGCACTCTAAACTCAATCATCTTTTTGCCAAGTCTTTATCTAGAGTACTTCGCTCTCAGTCTCTTCCAGTAGTCAAATAATTCAGTTCTTTTTTTCATGCTTTTCCTTGCAATATGAGTCATAAACTCTGATTTTTAGCTTCCACATTGACAAGTACTCGACTTTATGTACTCGAATGTTTGGGCACCGACTCTCATTTCTTCAATTAACGGTTTTCCATATTGTCTTATTGTTTTGAATCATTATACTAGTTACGCTTGGTTATATCCAATTTGCAAAAAAAAAAAAAAAAATTGATGTTCGTCAGGTTTTTCTCGATTTTTGATGAGTAGTGCGAACAATTTTCTCCGCCACCATTTGACGAATTTACTCATACGGTGGAGGTGAATCTTCCAAACTTAGCTCCACTTTATCTAATCATGGAATCACTTGACTTCTCACCCACCATTCATTGCAGAGCATAATGACCTTGCATAATGTAAAAACCACCAAATTGTCAAAACTTGCCTCACTTTACTTTACCCTGTTAAACTTCCCCTCATCTTCCGATTGTTTTCCTTCGCCACAACATTTTATCTAACCAATCGTCTTCCCCTCATCTTCCTTCCTCTGAACTACGTGGTATTATACCCTTTCATTCTCTTTTAAACACTTTTCTCAATTACCATAAATTTCGAGTCTTTGGTAACTTTTATTGCCCTTGGCTTCGTCATTTTACATCCATTAAAACTAATCATCGTTCTCGCCCATGCCTTTTCCTTGGTTATAGTCACCAACAGACTGCCTATACTTTTTTAACATCGATTTCCGTGCTGTGTCACTAAGACTTCGGCAGGATCCACTAATTTCAAGATGTGCAAATGAGAGAGGGATGCAAGCTTGGGTTTCGAGTTTCGAGGTCACTCGACCAATGATTATTAGTGTTGTTATAATTAATTATTATTTGAGTATTATTATATAATAATTATTTTTATTATAATAAAATTATTAAAATTTATTATTATTTATTGATTTTTATTTATACTATTTTGTGATAATATTTATAAATTTGATAAATCTATTTTATAATAATATAATTACTTACTTGTCATTCTATTTGCACCCCCCTACTTTTTCTTCTAAACAACAATTTACACCTCCACTTGCACCCCCCACCAAGTTGCACCCCTCCCCCCCCCCCCCCCCAAAGCAATTTACCCCTTAACTTATACCCCCTCGAACTTGCACCCCTTATTGCCAAACATAGTGTAAGTCGTGGCTCCAAGCAAACACTCCTCATATTTAGCGCATTTACATTCCTCTTGTCTCCACCCCAAGCCCGTTCCGAACCCCTTGTCAATCAACTTCGTCATCACCTCCCTCGGGATCCTCAGGTGTGTCACTTTTGAGCTCAAATCCCCCACAAGTGGCACCTCAACCGGTCGGGCCTGCACTAGCTCTAAAACCGCCTCATCACCGTACTACATATCTCTCAAATCATATATTTAACTTGAGGGGCATTTTATGGCCCATACAAGCTCTTATCCACCTATTGAGCCCAAAATAGTACAATAAGCTATTCAACATCCTTTTTGGGATGCCACCTCAATTCTGAATATCAAGCTATTCTTGATAATGGTACTTGGACTCTAGTACCTCTCCATGAAAATCAAAACCTTCTCATTTTGAGCTCACATATGATAAACCTTCGCCCACATTTTAGGTTGTAGGCTATCAATTGTTCTTTCGAGTCAAACATAATCTGAATGGCTCAATTGACCAAAATAAAGCTGGATTAGTATACAAAGTTTCATTAGAGACCGGATGTTGACTTTCATGACATAGTTAGCCCGTTGGTCAAACTTATCACTTTTTTTTACGATATTCACTCATGCTCTCTCTCAAAAATTGGTTTATCTACAAATATGATGTCCACAATGCATTTCTTCAATGTCCATGGCAAAAAGGGGTGTTTACGCCTCAGTTATCAGGATTTCACGAACCTTGTGCGTCTAATCGTATATGTCGCCTCAATGGCACATTTTATGGCTTAAGTAGGCTCATCATGCTTGGCGGAGTACTTTAAGCTCATTCTTTCAAGAACATGGCTTTGTGAAGACCACCTCAAATGCTTCCTTGTTTCTTTTATCTTCATCAACATATCACTCTTTACTCCCTTATCTATGTTCGTGGAAAGATGAGAATATGATCATTACCTTCCAGGAAAGCTTATCTCTCAAACACTTGGAACATCTTAGTTACTTTCTGGTTATTGAAGTCATCCCTAAGGATAATGGCTTTCTTTCATCCCAACACTAGTATATGAATGAAATCCTCGCACGATTTCACATGTGTGACGCCAAACCTACTGCTAATTCTCTTTCAGAAATAACACAACTTACTCTTATTCACGGCAGTCCAACAACTTATTTCACTAAATATCGTCAATGCATTGGTGCTCTTTGGTATATATACCTGCCTTGATATTGCCTACACCATGAACAAGCTCTCCCACTACATGCATGCTTTGACTTCTTCACATTGGGAATGTGTTAAATACCAACTTCATTATGCCCATGGTACCTTGAGTTATGGAATTTCCATTAGAAGACTACATCTTCCTATTAATCTTATTGCATTTGTGGACTCTGATTGGGCCAGTCATTGATGATCGCATATCCCCCTCTACTTATCCGATCTACCTTGAATCCAATATTCTCTCATGATGATCCCAACAACAATGCACCACTGTACGGTCTAGTACCGAAGATGAATATCGTGTCATTGCTCATGCTACCGGAAAATTTTCTTCTTTAATTTTATAATCCTCTCAT